ATCAGACGCTGCTGGTCTGGCGGAATTCCCTCCTTGTCCTGAATCTTCGCCTTCACATTCTCTATCGAATCACTCGGCTCCACCTCCAGCGTAATCGTCTTGCCGGTCAGAGTCTTCACGAAGATCTGCATACCACCACGAAGACGAAGCACCAAGTGCAGAGTCGACTCCTTCTGGATGTTGTAGTCTGACAGTGTACGACCGTCCTCCAGCTGCTTCCCTGCGAAGATCAGACGCTGCTGGTCTGGCGGAATTCCCTCCTTGTCCTGAATCTTCGCCTTCACATTCTCTATCGAATCACTCGGCTCAACCTCTAGCGTTATCGTCTTCCCAGTGAGAGTCTTCACGAAGATCTGCATCGTCACTAACTGCGAGCAAGCCTAACCGAAATAACGCTGCAACACTGCCACACGGTTTTATATGGCGTTTCGCGTAGGCGGCCGTATACTCGCTGCCAATTGGCTCACACTTCTTCTCGTGTCACATGCTCACACCTGATTGGATAGATTGTTCTAGAATTTCGCCGTCACTTTACGCGTGCATCCAAGCCTCTTAGTGGTGTTATTGATTGCCACTCTCGCAAAATGTGCCTGCGCGCACTGCGCTAGTCGGCGTTTTAGCCTGCAGCTTATGCCGCTAGCTTTTGGTGTATGGTATCTCTCACTCGATTCGACTAAACTTGTCACTCTTTGGTCGAAGTTTCAGGTTTCGCCTTGCATATTTCCTATTTCCTTGTTTGCCAAGCCTTCACACAGTTGTATTCACTTCGGAAGTTCCATTTTTAATCAGTATAGGAGTCGTGGTTGAGGATTTCTTGTGGCTCCTGTGTTCTGTGAAAGCGTACAATCCAGTCGAGTGCACAATTTATCAGATTCTGAGATTGTGTGACACCATACTCGCAATCAGAATCTGATGGGTCAACCGAGGCAATGGTGGTCATCAGTCGTAATTTGTCGACCGTAATCTCTCCATCCACTTCCTGTTGAGATAACAATTGTGACTAGTTTTCTTCTGGCAGACGTTGCTTTTTTCTTCGTTGCTAATCCGTCTAATATTGGTGGTAGACCTCACGCCGGATCAACGGTCAGTAGTGATGCTATGGGTTCATCGACCTAGCATATTCCCACGGTATCACGTTGAACAGAAGGCAAGGCAGCGCCCATGTCCTATTCGCTGCTTGGTTCAGTCACCTTCGCGGTGGCCGATCGAATTTATTGTGGTGACATGTTGAACACACACTCGTTGCTTTATAATTTCGTGTCTCCAACTCATTTCTGCATGAAAATGTGCAGAAAGTACACATGGCAATTGTTTTTCGAGGCGATCACGCATTAGGCTCATGACTGAAGGTAAAGTGTCGCGTGATAGCTCGCAGATCAGGCCCTCAAAGTAGGTAGGCGTTTAGTGTGATGCACAATAGATGGTCATTGTTTGAAGCTAGATCACTGCAAGCACGTTAAAAACACTTAAGTGATAAGTGAAATGTGATTTATTCATGTTGAGATCGTGTGCAGAGCCAGATGGAGACACCAATGTGGTTGGGTATGCTCATCTACTCTGTCCCTCGATATTGCTCCGGGGCAACCTGTACATTCAATGTACCCAATGTGCAACTTCCACAGGTTCACAACTGCTCCTTTGGATTGCGGTAATGTGATCCCACTGAC